TCTTCATCTCTCATCCTGTTCCTGCCAAACGGTCAGGCTTCAAAGAAGCGTCTTGCCTAAGAGCCCTTTTGCAATCACGGAGAGTGGAAATTTACTTACTCTGAAGAGGGGTGCATTTAGACAGCCTCCTTCCAACTGCATGTCAACGGGGTAATGTATTAGAGGCTACCACCGTGTACCTGGGCTGGACTCACATCTTGGGGGCCTCAGGGCAGCCCCAGGAGGTCTGGTGCTCTTATCTGATTTCCTGGTGAGGGGGTGAGTGTTCCCTGGGTGCATGTTTGCGCCAGGGGCCTCTGCGTTCTGTACCCTTGCTGCTCCTCTCCTGGTTCTTCTCCCTTCTTTTTCCTTATCTTGTTCTTATCAGCACCGCAGGCATTAAAGGCATGTGTGGAGAATGAGGAAGGCCACAGGGAAGAAGCCAAGAAGCAAGGGGTCAAGACTGCTGTGACACATCACGCCCCATATAGTTAAGGGGTCCTGTGACCTCTTGGAGGTTCGTTAACTTGTTTTTTTTCCACACGAAGTGGAGCAAGGGTGGCCAATAGGAGTGCATGAGCCTAAACGCCAACGTTTCCCCAGTCCTGATCCTTTCCCACAATCTCGCCAGGAGAACGGATACGATGTGCATTCCTTCTTACTTGCCTGACCCAAATATTTACCTATCCTAGGTACACGGACACTATTTCTAAAGAGAGCACTTTGCCCAACCAATCATCGTGGGAAAAGTGGGTCAACAGAGTGAGGTGATGAGCGCGTTGTCTTTCAAGAGAATCAGATCATTGATCAGCACCTTCGTTAATATTGGAAGCTTTCATATTTTCCCCGTCTGTATAAAAATATACAACATATGAGCCGCCAGCCACCTGGCCTCAGAGAGAATAGTGACACGAGGCTTCCGTCATCCTCTCACCAGGAAGGCTCGTGACATGAGGCAGAGGAACCCACAGACGGCATGGCTAGCTGTTAGGACATGACACGCTCTTAAATATAGAGAAGACACTGGCCCCACAACCTGAAGGAGGAGAAACTCAAGAAGGGGAGTAGGCTCTGCAAGACGAACTGAGTCGTGACTAATCCCAGCGAGGTGGCAACCGGGACAGACCTGAAGGAGTTATTGTGTTTTTCATGACATGTTTGGCTTAGAAAAGCACGCGTACAAAGATAGAAGGAAGGGCACAGCACCAAGGACAAGCTGAGAAGAGTGACACATTTCTGTGAGAACAGTGCCTGACTTGAGCTGAGGCTTGCAGGAAAAAAAAAAAAAAAGTAAATTAGCAAAAAAAAAAAAAAAAAAAAAATTAAAGGTGGGTTAGTGGATTATTTTTAGTTACGATTAAAAAAGAGATGAAGCCCATTACTTAGGGGTCATGGTAACGTGTTAACCAACTCCTAACTAGCCTCTCCATAAAAGCAACGCGGTCTTGACGACAAGGATTTAAAGAAGCGACACCGGGAGAGAACAGGCTGTGAAGACGGGGGGTGTGGCATGCTAGTAAGTGCTGTGACCTCTTAGCCACTTTAAATCCATGTCTCTGGGCCCTGCGGGCTCCCATTCCAGCCCCCTGATAGATCTCCCATCCCAGAAAGGATAACAGAGCCAATGTACTCGATCCCTGAGAAAACGAATGGAGACTGGGAGGGTTCCAAGAGACTGCTGTCAGCAGATGTCCCAATTTACCCGGAGGTTGGGGGGGGGGCGGGGGGAGGAGATACAGTTCCTACTATATAGACTGATAGCGTGGCAAGATTTTAATTAAAGTGTAATTTAGAGAAGGTTTTCAAGCCCTTTGAAAAGGGTGGATATTGAGAACTAACACCAGTTTGAGAAAAACAGACCAAATCACTTTATCGACTTAACCCCCTCCATGTGCTACCTCACGGTGCAGACTGGGGAGGGCACTGGTTAATATGTATCTGGACGCCAAAAAAGAAAACAATACTGGCTCTGTACCTTTGTAGCCCCTGACAACACGGGCTGCGTGATGACTCACAGGTCCTTGCCACTGGGCTTTGGCCATTCTTGAGCCCGGCACGCTATCTCAAGTCTATGTGCCTTTGTCACGTAGTAATCTCTCATGTGGAACGACCTGTCCTTTGGCTGTTTGTCCTTCAAAACTCACCACAAATGGCACCTCCTCTGGGAAACTTTCTCTTCTGCTCAGTATGACTGAGAAGTCCCCGCTATGGTCTGATTGCGTTCTCCCATATCCGCGTGCTGGAATCCTGATGTCCAATGTGATGGTGGTAGAAGGCGGGGGCTTTGGGAGCTGATTAGGTCATGAGGGTGGAGACCTCATGAATGGGATCAGCACTCTTATAAAAGAGACCCCACAGAGCTCCCTACCCTTTCTGCCACGCGAGGATACAATATGAAGATATGAGGAGAGGTCTGTGACCGGGAAAAGGGTCCTCACCAGACCAGGCTGGCACCCTAATCTGACTTCCAACCTCCAGAACTGTGAGCAGTAAATTTCTGCTACTTCTAAGCCACCTAGCCCATGGTATTTTGTTATAGCAGCCTGAGCAGGCTAACACAGTCCCTTATCCGTGCCCACCAAGCACTCTGGGCACTCTGCTATCATAGAACTCTTGCCCTAGGTACAACTGACAGCTTCCTTATCTGCCTCTCCCGTTGCCTGCAGCCTCCTGAAAGTGGTTGTTCCAAAGCCTGGCACAGTGCCAGGCACACAGCGGACCCCGCCAAGCCCCCAAGACACGATGATTGTTTGTACAAGTTTTGCAGAGAGGTTCAAAGTCAACCTGTAGGGAGTTGTCTCGAATTGTGTTCCATGGGCTTCTCCAAGTCTAGACTTTATCAGTGACTTGGAGGTACAGTATACTTTCCGAGACTATAAAGCTGGCAAAGAAAGATGATTAGATAGGAGGCTCAAGGTTCAAGATCTAACAATCTACAGGCTGGCCACAAGGCCTGAAAGGGCAGATCCCCTTTTCACATAGATTTATTTTTCTTGATTTTTGTATGGCTTGCTAAAGGCACATGGTTTTTTGTTTGTTTTGTTTCCGGGTGAAAATCAGAGACCAATCATCTGAGGCAACACACGGCAGACGAATATGCAGGCAGTGATGGAAATGCTGCATTAATGCACCATATTCCTCGGAATTTTGTACAGCGTTCTGAACTACGCATCGCTGATGAAGGCGATACGTTGACCATATCATATGTCACTGACCATCTCGTACATGATAATGCAATTTCGGCAAGCCATTTACTATGCATGTTCTTCTGTATTTCTAGACTTTGTGGCTACGCTATAAAAAGACAACTGACAACCAACAATAAAATTTTAATAGAAATATTCATGAAGCTTTATATTAGGTCTCAAGAAAGTCAGCTGGATATCTATAGTATGGGGAACATCTTGCTGTACTCATCCATCCACCCATCCGTGAATCCATTCAGCCAACCACACTGAGCACTCGCTATATGCTAAATACTTATAAGAATCTACCAGTTTGTGGAAAATACACATTCCCTTCCCTGAGCTTATGTCCCAGCAGTGGGAAATATATACTAAAGAAGCAAAGTAAATAATGTCATACGTTGATGAGGGTCATGAATAAAATAAACAATGTGTGATGGGGTAAGGGACAGCTCTGGATTGGGGGGAGGTATGTACATGCTTCTCTGAAGCTTGTAGAGCATTTATGTTAAGGAGAGTTTGGAGGGGCCAGGCTATCCTTCAGCTTGATGTGAGTCTAGGATGTGCTGTGACTGCTGAAAATAAACTGAAGCTTGGGTCACATTAATAGAAGCAGAGTGATGGGATCAAGGGCAGTGGCAATCCTAATGCCTCTGTAGCAGTCACACCCCTTCTAGACCAACTTCCACAGCTGCAAATGTTATATACTTTAAGACACTCATGGAGTGTACCCAGAAGCGGGGTCTAGAAACCACATCTTTTGAGGCTAGGTTGAGAGAAGTAGGGAAGTTTACTTTGCGGAATTTAAACTCATCTTTAAAATATCCGAAGAGTCAAGATGATTCAAGATGTTCAGAAGAGAATGAGTCCATGCCTTGTGGTTTTAGGAGTTCGCACCTGAACTACTGAAAAGATAGTTCAGTGTAGTTCAAAAGATGTATAACTAGAGCTATACAGAAATGGGATAGGCGTTTTGAAGAAGTGAGCCCTTCACCCTCAGAAGTATTCCAGTAGAGGTTGGGTAAACTCTGTCAAAGAAGAGGGATTCCCTGTATTGGGTAAAATATTCCCTTCGAGTCACATCCTTGGGAATGGGGTGCGCAGTTTTGTTTCTTCGAGTGAGAGATCTCGGGAACCTCGGAAGGCCTGCCTTGTTAGAAGTAGCCCCACTATTCCTCACTTACCACTATCTTAGAGACCCAACCCATGGGGACCAGGAATTACAAGACTCCCAGTAACCAAATTCAACGAGAGACAACTGCATGATCCTTTGCTCAAGCCTCCCCTGTGTGTGCGCATGTTTGCACGTGAGTGTAAGCAAAGCTCTCTGAACTTGGCCACCTTTCAGTGTGAGGTGACTGTACCTTGAGGCTCAGGTCAAAGGCTCAGTTCTATTTATGAGTTCTGTAGAGTTTCCTCTGAGAAAGGCATAAAGCCTCTCCCTTTCTCTGCAATCTGGATCTACCTTGGGTAGACAGACAGGTGTTCCACTTTCTGTTCTAAATGCCCTTTTTAGGCTATGTTTTACTGAACTCTAAAGTGTAAACAGCCAATTTAATTACTCAGTGTAATCATTTTATGATTATGATTTGATAGGATATCAATTTTGTCTCTACTCATATTTGCTCTGCTAGACTAGAGACCAAATCAAAACCCATTAAGATGAAGGCTTCAGGCAGAGATTAACTTGAATCCCAGAACAGTGTGTGTGTGTGTGTGTGTGTGTGTGTATATATATATATATTTTTTTTTTTTGTCTATTTTCTTGTGAATAAAACCTGTGTTTTTGAAGGACAGAGGACAGCATGGTCTATGAAGTCAGCGAAAAACCCATACCTGAGCCACAGACAACAAAAACAAACAGTGCCAACAGCCATGGTCCCACAGGGTATTTCTCTTCTTGCGGCCTCTGAAAGGGAATGGGGTAAAGTAAGATTAGGTTCATTCATTCAGGAAACATTTGTGGGGTACTACTAGACCCTACTAAAGATTGGGAATACCACGATGGGTGAGATGGATCCATTCTCAATGCCCAATGGGCAGGGAATAGCTGAATAAAGCCAATTGTGAAGGATCCAGATAGGTGTGAAAAAAATTAACCAATAACCTTATTTATACTCCTGTAACTCAGCGCACTTGGCACTCTTAAGTATTCTAGGGACAGATGGGGTATAAGTACCAACTGATACAGTGATTTGGGAGTCCCAAATGATAGTACTAATAATTGCTTCCATTTGTTGAAGGCACACTGGATGCCAGGCTCTATCCTAGGCAATCTACAACCACTCTTTCCACCACTCACAACTCCATGCCAGGCAAGTGTTATCAACTCCATTTTGTGGTTGGGAAACTGACACCCAGAGTTTGTTAATTTGATCAAGGGCTGGGATTCAAATTTAGACTTGCCTCATTACAGAGCCTGGGTGGTTTCCACTAACAGAATCATCTTAAATTCCCGAATCTGTGGATTTCAAATAAGGTCACAGAACAGCCATTTTCTCAAAACCTTCCACACGCCAAGAACATGGGGAAGGTGAGTGCTGTGGAAATTCTCAGAATGGCGGAAGCACCACAGCAACGGTGAGCGCGTAGGCAAAGGAAGCAGCATTTTGTAATGAGAAAAGTTCCTCAACCCAAATGAAGCTTACACTTTGAAGAAATCTCTTCCTTCCCTGGGGAGCAGAATGGCACTACTGTGCCCACATGAACCCAGTCCCTGCACACCTCCTGCTCCCCTCAAACTAAAAACACAGACGTAATAAGAACAACCATCCACAACCCTTCTAGGTCTATTTGCAGGTACGGCTTGGTCCTTGAAATCAAACCGACGGGGGTGTTTGGGTGGCTTAGTCAATTAAGCGTAGAACTTCAGCTCAGTCACGATCTTATCTTACGGCTTTTGGGTTCGAGCCCCGCGTCGAGCTCTGTGCTGACAGCTCAGAGCCTGGAGCCTCCTTCGGATTCTGTGTCTCCCTCTCTGTCTGCCCCTCCCCTTCTCGCACTCTGTCTCTCACTCTCTCGTGAATAAGTAAACATTAAAAAAAATCAAATCGATCAAGGAAAAACTATTTTTTTTGAGAGAGGCGTCCAAAAAAACAGTGATCTTCTCCAATAAAAAGGGAGATGTTAGAGTGAAGAAAATAACTCCCTAACATTTCTTCACGTGTGTGAGCCAGAAATAGGCTGTTACCCACATCAATACAAGAACTCATGTTATTATAAATAAGGCAACAATTCTTCGGTTCTCAGCTTACCTGTAACTTTCTGAGACAGCCTTCTCTCTTCTACCTCAAGTGGGTTTCCTTACCACTTAAACCGCCATGTATGTTTTCTTCACAGCATTTATCCCAGTTTGTATCTCATGTTTATTCTCATGATAACGTGTCTACTGTCTGTCTCTCCACCGGACCCTACCCCACCAGGGCAGGCACTGTGTCTCTTTCACGTGTCAATGTATATAGCAATGCCTGGCACAGGACTTAAACATAGTAGGTGCTCAATAAGTGTTCACTGAAGAATGAATAAGCACACCAACGTCATTAAATATGGCTTCTTAGGTCAAGCAGAGTAAAGACGGGATCTAGGAAGGATATTACCTTTTTTGTAAATACTTCCTAATTGGTGATAGGGTTATCCCTGACTCTCTCCATACCAGAGTAGAGATTAAAGTGTTAGTGGCAGGCAGACTCCAAGGATTAAAACCCTTCGATTCTCTGTCCTCGACGAGCTTGTTTCCACCACCACGCCTGCACAAACAAATCGCACTGCAAGGGAATGGGTGCCCGCTCTTGACCAGACAAGGACAAAATCAGTCTTACATAACTGCGTAAGATAACTTGAACCAGTGTTGTCACTGTGTCATTCTTTGGCACCCAACGCCAGGTCAAGGCCAGATCACGTAAATAACAGAGATATCAAATAAAGTTACCCGAACAGAGTGCGGCACTTACCCCGTCCCCACCCTCTTTCACTAACTTCCTAACCCATCTGTCACGGTTGACCAGAAACCAGTTCTGTTGCTGTCATCCCACTAACGCTGTATAAAAAGCTCATTGATCTCCAGCAAAGCCAACAAGTGAATTTAGGAGCCTGTAAATGAATTACTGGCCTGGTGCAGATAGCAATGGAGTCCATTATGTTTCCTTTGCAGAAAAACACAAATTATCAACATGCAGAGCTTGGACTATATAGTACAAAAATCTGTTTGATGGCATTTTCCAGTGACTCGATACGGTCTGGGGACTTTCAGAGCTCAAGAACACCAATATATCCTCTTTTTTTGAGAGCTCTGAGTTCCTGTTTTGGAAGCGGTACCCAGCACAATCCCTTTGGGGCAATTCACCTAAGCCTGAATCTATGGCTGGTAAAGGTAAGAAAAGCAGCAGAATCTTGCAAATGACATGGTTCATTTCAAACAGGAGTATGTTACTTCCCTCATAATGTCAGGGTCTTGTTCCCCCCATGATTATATACTAGCAGGGTAACTCAGAACGCTGAACTTTAAATCCCCTTCATTCTGGAGAAGTTACTGCCGTATAATCACAAAATGATTACTTCTTTGTTTTTTGGATATATCTGCTACCTGGGAGAATAATATCGATTTACTCCATAGCTATTAGCTAATGAAATACTGAAGCATCTGCATACAATTGAAGGGGTCTATTTCCGAATGCTTATGCTGATTTTTCAGTTCGAATCTGTTCATATGTTCCCAATTTCCTCCCAAACAAGTTATCTCTTGCAAGTTACTTCTTTCAAAGTGTAATTGGGTTTGACCTGCAATTAGGAAAATGAGATTTAGGGCTTAAAGTACTTCGGTTTTCTTTTTGGATGTTGGCCTATTTACAATAAAGTTAACCAAAAGGTTCTCCTAGCCAACTGAAAATAAACATACATCGTGGCTTGGTTTGGGAGCCTTTCATTACAAATGTAGTAGGGCCGTTTGAACATCCTCACAGGTACCAGGCACTTCTGAAGGGCCCCAGGCCATGGTATATCCGAACCTATTAGAATTCACTCACACCATAGATTAAACATTCGTCCTAATGTAGCTTTGAAAGTTGAGTTGGGTTGAAATGAGAGTAACTACATTTCCTAGATATTTAAATATTTTCCTCCAATTTTTAAATTTTCTCTTCTTATTTTGAAGCCACTAATTCGCCCTCTCCCCTCCCCCAGGTCTCAAACACCTTCTAATGGTCTTGAAAAGCTAAAGGTGGCTGACCTTGAGTTCACCAAGCCAGGATGGATAACTTAGCTTTGCAAATCAGTTACCGTGTTGCTACTTTTGCAGTGGGATATGTTGTCAACTGAGTTTAGTTCATAACTGTTAGTTCTGTAGGTCCTTAGTTCATTCAAAAGAACCACACAACTGGAGATTTTCAGTACCTCAGCTAGTCTGTATGATATCTAGGAAGAAGTGACCTCCTAGGGATATAAAACCCTAAGTGCTTTAACACCGATTAAAATTTGTTTCTCAAGGTCAATTTGGACAGCAAGGTTTGTTTTTCTGAGTAAAAAGAAATAGGAAAAATAGATCTATGTGAAAAATGGCTCCAATTCACTGGTATATTAGCATGTTACTGTTCAGTCACAACTAAATGATCTAACTCCCAATGAGAGAATTTCCAGCATAAGGTAAGCCTGGAACTGTGGATAAAGCTCTGAGTAGAACAGAGTTTGATCCTAAGACTTCTCTGCCGTGGTACTGCTCAGTTTTGCAAGAATTCTGGTGTGATCATTGCAGCTCTAGCTTTTTGCTCAGTTACTCAAACCAGGATCATTTCTTTGGCTAAAAGGAAGTGCCTCATCAGGTCTGCAAGCTTTTCCAGCCAAACCCAAAGCTTCAGCTGGACTTCACTTAAGTGTCTGGGGTAACAGATTCCAGGCATCTTGGCTCACAGACTTGGAGACCAACACTGCCCAACAACTCATCCCAGGCATGCCTCTGAGTGTCCAAACTCACGGACCTGGCATTTTCTCTCGAAGACATTCTGCTTTGCTAAAACTAACCCTGGTGCATAAGGCACACAGATTTTACTTTAAAGTCCAGTTACAAAGCTTTAGTCTCCAAAGTTCTGGATCATACCACCAGGATGAGCCAGAATTTACAGGGTGAGCAAGAGTAATGTTGCATTTAAACTTCAGCCCGGTAGCGAGAGGCCTCCCTGGAGAAGAGGAGAAGGAAAGGAGGATGGAGGGAAACATGGGTCTGAACCTCATTTCGCACTTTGCGCCCCTCCAACTTATTCAACTTATTCATAACAAAGAGGCTGGAGGGGAAACCTTATCCTGGTGGGTGTCTGTTGAGGGTGGAGGCCAGGAGTCGGAGCTTGGAAGGGGGTGATGATAAGAGGCCTCCATTTACCTGCTCATTCATTCATCGAACGTTCTAGCACCTACTGGGTTCCGGGTCCTGTGTCACGCAGTTGGTTTAACTGTTCCTGAAGGATGTGACTTTCCGTTTTTCCCGGAGACAAAGGCCCAGTTCTCTCCTGGGGAGGCTCTCCCGCGCCTCCGTGGTAGCCCCGGCGGCCGCCCCCTGAGGGGCCACCACCGACCCGGCCCTCGCCGCCCGCCAGGGCTCCGCGAGGTCCGCGCCCCAGAGCCCGGCACTCGGCGCCCACTCTGCGGGACCCCGCGGGAGGGGCGGGCCCGGGCCCGGGCCGGGGAGCGGGGAGCCCGGAGCCCTGGCGGGCGGCGAGGGCCGGGTCGGTGGTGGCCCCTCAG